GTTGTAGTACAGAGAAGGCCTTTGTTCAAAAGCTTTATTTGACAGAAGGCAAATGCTGAGGGCCAGAGAGGGTAAGAGGCTGGCTCATGGTCACACAGCCACACCAGGCCAACAGGTGGTTTCCTGCCTGCTGGCCCAGCAGCCTCTATTGTGTATCGTGCTGCCTCCCACCTATGCAGGGTCCACCCACAGAGCTTCCTGCCCTTCTGTGGCTCATCACCCCTTCACTCATCTCCCAATGCCCTGCCTGGCCATGCTGGCTGAGGAAGGCATGCTACTTGTCCGAGAGGCACTCGTGGGTCAGTGGTCTGGAAGCTTCTGGAAGCTTCTGGCTTCTGCAGTTCACAAAGACATCTTTTTCAAACTGGTTGAGAAATGTTCTGTGGCTGATTTTTTTCATGCACTGTTTTGTTTGCTGCTGCCTTAATTGTTACCATGTTATATTTTCTCGGTTTAATGTTTTAATTCCGTGCTTGGGCCCGGAGGCAATGCAGCGAAGGGTATGATTTGGAAAATCAGGAAGATAAAGAAATTGTCCATGGAAGCGCCAGCCTCTCCGGAGCCGAGGACAAAGCGTTAAGCGCCAGCAATGAATTTTATTAGGAACCAAACAAAAACAAGCAACCTGCTGGCAGACGGAAGGTGATAGGCCATCCTGCCTGGTTTCTCTCTCTCTCTCTCTCTCTCTCTCTCTCTCTCTCTCTCTCTCTCTTTTTTAATTTAATACCAGTTCTCCACTTCTTCCCAGATCAGCCAAGGATACAAGGATTTGCGACCCAGTTCCTTCCCCACTGCCTTCTAAAAGCCTTCCCCACTCCTGCCTCCAGGTCTTATTCACAGGGAGACCCCGCTTCACGGCTGCTCATACACTTGCTAGTGGAGCAAGCTCTGTGCATTAAGTGCATGTACGTTCCACGGAGGCTTTGCGTTCTCTCTCTCTCTCTATTTATTTACTTGATCTATTTATTTACTTGAAAGGCAGAGTTACAGAGGGAGAGATTTTCCATCCACTGGTTCACTCCCCAAATGGCTGCACCAGCTGGAGCTGGGCCAGTCCGAAGCCAGGAGCCAGGAGCTTCCTCCAGGTCTCCCATGAGGGTAGCAGGGTCCCAAGCCCTTGGGCCATCTTCTGCTGCTTTCCCAGGCCACTACCAGGGAGCCGCATCGGAAATGGAGCAGCCGGCGCCCATACGGGATGCCTGTGTCTCAGGCAAGCTCAGCCGCTATGCCACAACGCTGGCCTGGAGGCACTGCATTCTCAACCAGGCGGTAAAGTCCTCAAGGGGACAAATGTTGCTTCTGGGCAGAGTTGGTGGAAGAGCCTTGGGTCCTGCAGTGGTCTGTGCACTCATGGCATAAGCTCATCACCCAGCCAGGCTCCCAAGTGATAACATGGTCGTCAGTGCCAATCAGAGCCGCCAGGCCCTCTGATCTCATGCATCTGGTTCCCAATTCCTGGCTGCCCAGTTCATGCAAGCTTCTGCTCCCTAAAAGCTGGCCCCATCCATCTTCCTACCCAGCCTGGGACTCAGGCCCAAGAGATTTGCCATCTCCTCTGCCCCACACTTCAGACCCCTGCACCCTTCCTCCACCCAGCACGTCTTCCTCCCTACCTGCGGACAAGTGGTCGAGGCCTGGGACAGACAGGACAGTGAGCAGCGACTTCATAGGGCTGTCAAGACCAGGAGGCCCTGGGAATGTGGCGGGCAAGCTGAACCCCGACTCTGAGGGATCGCTCTTCCCCGCCCCCACTCCCAACGCCTCACCACCTCTTCCTCGCTCTCGGCAGACCTTGCCTCCCACTTGGCAGAGAAAAATAGAAGCGCCAGATGCAATCTTCCTGGCATCCCACTGCAGACCCGCATCTACATCTGCACCCAGCCCTCGTGGCTCCCGCCTCGGGGTTCTAGAGAAGTCAGCCCCCCGCCTCCCCAGGACCAGCCCTCCGCCCACACGCCTGGTCCCAGCCCCTTGCACCTGCTCAGGGCACTACTCCATGACAGCCTTGAGTGATCTCCCTGGCCAGGAGTTGCCATCACTTTGTAAACACACTCAGGTTACTTGCAGCGGAACACACAGGGCTCTCCTGACACACACAGTGGCCCCGTGGCTTCCTCTCTGTCCTCTCCTCCACAAAGGAAGTTCTCAGGAGACCTGGTGCCTCCCTCATCCCTCCCGCGCCCACCAGGCCACTGTCATCTGACTCTCCACATCCATAGCGCTGCTAATGCCCCCCCCCCCCCCGTGACCTCAACTCTGCACCCTTCCGCAAGCGCACTCTCCTGGGTGTTCTCAGTCCGTGCAGGCTGATCCTGACTGCACAGCCCCAGCCTATGGGTGGGCTTCAGACCTCCAGCCTGCGCTCGCATTTCATCCAGCTCTCCCCCACCACCCCCAGTGGACATTGCTAGGGCTTCCATTCGCTTGTAGACTGAAGAGAAAGACCCACCCCTAGCGCAGCATGTGCGCTCTGCCCACCTTGCACACGCTGCCCTGGTCCCTGGGACAAAGGGAGCCTTTGCTTCTGTTACCGGAGAAATTGCAGGGTTCTTGTCTTTGCGCAAGAAAGAATTCAGGCGTGAGACAGAAAGTAGTGGGAGGTAAAATAGCAAGGTTTATTAGGGAAGGGACATCCGTAAGAACGGATGGGCACCTCTCCAGACAGGACCTGAGAGACTGGGGGGCGGGGGGGAGGTTACACGGTTGAGTGGAGAGATCACACCTGACCAGGCCAGGCGGGCGGCTCAGCAGAGAGGCAGAGGGCTGAGCGCGCAGTCTGGTTGAGGCCGAGGGAGGAGGGGGTTTAAGGAGATGGGTTTTGCTTCCCCACCTCTGCTCCTCTTGGAACAAAGGCTTTTTGGATGTAAATAGAAAAACTTCTGAGTTTTCCCCTGAAGGTATCAGACAGGAGGAAGCCTAGCTGGCTCCATCCAGAGTTTAGAGGAAGGGTGAGCAAGACCCCTAGAGAATGGGGATCCGGAGCAGGGTGTTTGAAGTGCAGATACTGGGCTGCATCTGGGAGATTGTGGAAGACTGTCAGGCAGAAGGGGCGGGGACCTCCACCTGGCAGGTTATCAGGTAGAAGGGGGCAGGGCAGGATGTGAATACCAGGCTGCCCCTGAAACATTGTCAGCAGATGCAGGTGCTGGACATAGATGTCTTCTCTTTAGGCCTTTATGTCACACACACATAAGCTCATAACTGACTTCCTACCTAACACCTCTTCTCTCAGTTGTGTCTTCTGCCTCAGGCCCTTTACACAGGTTCCTCCCAGCGTCCTTGGGCCCAGGACCCCGCCCCCGCCCCACCCTGCCTTCCCTACACACAGTTACGGATTCCTCCCTGACGTCACTTCCTCACTGACGGCTTCCCTGAATCCCGAACCAAGATCTCTCCTTCCTGTCAATGCTCTGGCCGTTCCAGCCAATAGACACGCACCCCGGTCAGAAGCTCTCCCAAGCAATTCTGCTCAGAACACACTTCTCGTGATAATCCCACCAGGCAAAAAAGTATAATTACGCCCATTTTACAGATAAAGGAATTAGAGCACACGGAAGTTACGTAACTCGCTAGTTAATAGCGGCAAAGCCTTGTACCCAGGCATTGCGAGTCGAGTGCAGCTTTTAAACACCACAGGATTCCATTAGAAAACGCGGTCCTTCTCCTTCCGGCACAGACCGCCCGTGTTACTGCATCACTGCTGGTTTAGCAGGGTCTGCTCCATCAGCAGCACAGCTAGTTCCACCCCCAATAGCAGGTGCTCAGTAAGGATCTGCTTCACAGCTGAATGCAGAATGAGCCCGCTCTTCCTCACGACCACATTCAGCCAGTCATCTGGTCGTGTGTTTCCTCCTGGGCCCTAGGACGTATCTGTCTTGAACGTGCTTGGAAACGTTATGTGTCTGCACACAGCCAGCATCAAGTGCTGTCTGTGGAGGAAAGAACAGCTGACTCAGATGTTCCCAGCCTCACTCAGCCTCTCCCCGCCAGCCTCCCTCAACAACAGCCTCATGTCTCCTTCTGCTCGCCACAAGTCCAAGCTTCTGGTCACGGCGAGCAAATACAAACCCAGGTCAAGCTCCTGCACAAACCCAGCCGGGCTGTCTATGGCCCCAGGAGCAAAGTTCTAACTCTGCTGGCGGAGAGGGGGTGCTGCAGGCCTTGTCCTCTTCTCCGTCCTCCCGCGTCCTCTTCCGTCCCCTCTTTCCCACCCACGCCGCCCCTGCCCAACTCTTGGACCCAGCAGCACAGAATGGGCTCTGTTTGGGGTCCCCAACTTATGCCAGGGTGGTTTCTCACCTCCGCACCCGCACGTACCCTCTGCGTGGTGTGCTGGCCGTCTCCTGTGCACCTAGACATGCTTCCTGTCTTTAAGCCTCAGCGCAGATGTCCCTGTGGGGTCGTGACAAAGCACACCAAGCCCTGAACTCTGGTTGCTTGGTTACCGACTGCCTCCCTCACCCCTGTGAGCTTTGAGGGCAACCGCCATGTCTCACTCATCTTTTCCTTCCCCTAGCCTAGCAGGGTGCTAGCTCAAGATACAGTGCTCAGTAAGGCTTTGTTCAACCAGTGAGTGAATGAATGAGTACGCTAGTGATAACACACGTCTAATTCATGGATCCTAAAATGCGTGGAACGAAGCAATGAGTGGGTAACTGCAAGTTCGGGTCTAGAGAAGGGTGCAGATTAGGGGTGAGGAGGTGAGCGAGGGCAGTAGCAGCCTCAGTCAGAGAATGTACACCGAAGACAAATCCCTTCAAAGAGGAAGCTTGAAGAATGGAGAAGTGGGTGGAACTCACCAAAAGCATGGCCGGCGAGAGGGCGGGGCTATGAATAGACACGCCCCCAAGCCAATGGGAGGCTTGTTCCCGCTGAGTCTCCGCCCCTTCCCCCCGCTGTGTACGGGCCGGCTCCTCCCGGAGAGGAGACTACATTTCCCGGCGCGCCGCGCGGCCAGGGCGAAAGAGGAGCCGGAAGTGGGACGCGCGAGGTCTAAGGGCACGAGGGAAGTGGCGGGTGGGGACTAAGGGGGGCGTGCAGGTGAGCCGGCCGGCCGGGGGTCGCGGGTATGGCGGAGGCCAGGAAGCGGCGGGAGCTGCTCCCGCTCATCTACCAGCATCTGCTGCAGGCGGGCTATGTGCGCGCGGCGCGGGAAGTGAAGGAGCAGAGCGGCCAGGTAAGCATGCGAGGGCCGTGCGCGAGGGCCGCGTGCAGGCTCTCGAGAGCGGCGGCCCGCGCCCCGCCCCTGGAGATCTGGCGGGCGCCTGGAACCGGGTCCCGCGGTGCTCGGGGTTGCGGCCGGGGGTACCGGAGAAGCCCAAGCCTCTGCCTTCCCCGTGGGACTTCCAGCCCCGCTGGACCTCAGTTTCCTCATCTGTGCAGTGGGCTGGCCGGAACGTGTGACCTGACGCACGGGACTTTGTAATTCCCGCGCCTCTTACCTCCACCCTCTTCCTGGTAGCGGTGGTATTAAGTTTCCTGTGTCTAGCCACGTGGCCCGATGCGACCCCTTTGAGGCTGGGAGACTGCCGTGGTGCCGAGAGTGGATTGCGATGACCCCCCCACCCACCCGAGGGCACCAAGAGAAAGGACCCTTTGGTGGTTGCTCTGGGTTAACACTCGGGTGTTAACGACCCCTCACCATCGTACTGAGTGGGACCGCTTCAGGGCTCCACGCCGTACTAATATCTTACTTCGTTTCCTAGTTACTGGGTGCTCAGGGTGCTGGTGATAGAAGGGTGGGCGTGGGCAGCCTCCCCGGCCCCCTTGGAACTTACCGTCTACTCGGGGAGACCGACATCGAAGTATGCGTTTAACACTACCGTGGGGAAGAATGGGAGGCAGCCGGGATAGCAGATTGCCTTTGTCGGGGATATGGGGAGCTGCTTCCCTGAGGAAGTGGCAGTTGGTTAGAGATCTGGAGCAGAGAGGGGTTTTTCTCCCCAGCAGAGGTGCACATGCCTTGTGGTGGGAGGGAGCTGTGTCGGCCCTGACCTCCAGAAAGTCTGCTGTGGCAGAAGTGGGAAGTACAGAGACTCAGAGACTGGATGGAGGCCGAGGCTGGCTGGCGCGGGCCCGTGGGCAGTTAGATCTCCACCGAGGAGCAGCTGTAAGGCGCTGGAGTGCAGAGCAGATGAGGGAGCAGGATCTAGCACCCGTCTTATTGATACGTATGCCTAGGCAGCCATGTCCGCTGTCCAGGGGGCGGGCCTGCCAGCAGCAGACGGATGACATAGATTTTTTAAAATAAGTTAATGATGTAGCGCACACGGTGGTGGTAGGTGCTGGCCGTGAAACTGAGGCAGGTGTGTCTGGGTTCAGTTATGAGTAGGGTGGTCCAGGAAGCCGCCTTAAGGTGACATTTGGCCAGAGTCCTAAAGGAAGAGTAGGAGTTGCCTGGTTAGCAGGCAAGAGAGCGTTCCAGACAGCAGGAACAGCAAGGTGGCCTGACATCTGAGGACAGTGAGGTGCCACCGAGCCTGGGGGAGCACAGTGACGCTGACGCGCAAGCTCTCAGTGTTCCTGGTCCTGCACTGGGCACTGAGGTCCCCCTCAGACCCGAGAGCAATCTGCTGCCATCCCCACGCCATCCAGGAGTCTGAAGTTTGAAGAGGTGACGTGAATAGCCCAGCCACTTCACAGAGGAGCTCTGCCCAGGCTCCTGACCCGGCCTCCTTGAAGCACTTGACGTTCTGGGATCTTGACATGTGCTGAGAGAGTAGGCCCTCTGGCCTCTGCTCTGAGAGTCTGGAGTCCACCTTTTCCCCCTTGCCACTACCTAGAGACTGGCACCATTTGGGCACAGTCTTTTCCCTGGGCACCAGTGGATGGCAGTCAGGACAGCTGGATAGCTCTAGTCTGGGCTGTGGTTCCCGCTTTGGGGACAGTGACTGGTAAGACCTTTGAGAGTCTTTTACAAGGTCAGGGGCCCACACTGTGATGTAGGGAGTAAAGCTGCTCCCTCAGTCCCGGCATCCCGTATGAGCGCCAGTTCGATTCCTGGCTGCTCCACTTCTGATCCAGCTCTGCTGTGGCCTGGGAAGGCAGTGGGAGATGGCCCAAGTCCTTGGGCCGCTGCACCCTTGTGGGAGACCCAGAGGAAGCTCCTGGCTTCAGATTGGCGCAGCTCCGGCCATTGCGGCCAATTGGGGAGTGAACCAGCGGATGGAGGACCTTTCTCTCTCTGCCTTTCCTTCTTTCTCTGTGTAACTTTGACTTTCTTTCTTTTTTTTAAGTTTTTTTTATTTATTTGAGAGGTAGAGTTATAGACAGAGGGAGAAACAGAGAGACAGGTCTTCCTTCTGTTGGTTAACTCCCCAGATGGCCACAACAGCCGGAGCTGCACCAATCAGGAGCCAGGTGCTTCTTCCCTGTCTCTTGAGGTGCAGGGGCCCAAGCACTTGGGCCATCCTCTACTGCTTTCCCAGGCCACAGCAGAGAGCTGGACTGGAAGAGGAGCAGCTGGGACTAGAACTGGCGCCCATATGGAATGCTGGCGCCACAGGCAGACAACTAACCTACTGCACCACGGTGCTGGTTCACTGACTTTCAAATAAATAGATAAATCTTTTTAAAAAGGGGGGGGGGGTGGTCAAGGGTACGAATACTGGGAAGGCTGCAGATTGTATAAATGCTAGCTTAGAACTCTCCAACTCCAGCCTCTCAGAGGAGCCGCATACTGTTCTGTTAAGGGTTTTCACTGGAGCTGTTTGCCCTTCTTGGCTCCGGGTGGTTTGGATGGTCCTGGCAGGGCTAAGAAGAGAGACTTTCCAGAGCAAAAAGCTCTCTTCTGAAACCAGCTGTCTGTGGGAGTCGAGAGGCCGGGGGAGCTGGGGGAGGCAGGGCCCTCACTGTGCTGGAGGGTTAACTGTGGCTCTCTCTTCCTCTCTGCAGAAAACTTTCCTGACTCAGCCCGTAACCCTTCTGGACATCTATACGCACTGGCAACAGTAAGTCCGCGGGGGCTGGGGCGGAGAAGGGCCACTCCAGGCAGCCAGCTGGGACCGAGCCAGGCTGGTGGTGTAGTCCAGATCTGTCCCCAGGAAGCCAGGTCACATCCCCTAGGTGGGTCTTTCTGAGTATCATGCTGTTGGAAGAGACATTGGGAGCTGTAGTCTCTTAAGAATACAAGTATCTCGTCAACTTGTTACTCATTGGGCCAACGTGCGTTGAGCCCCTTCTGAATGTTAAGCCCCGTTCTCGGTATGTAGCTGCTGTCGTAAGACAGAGGACATCATCCTTTCCTGCAGCTGATAGTGTAGTCAAGGAGACAGGCGTGGGTCAAAGAATGAACCAGGTGAATACAGAATTAGAGTAGTAGGGTTATGAGGCAGGGGTACCTGGTGCCCCCACCACGTGAATCTGGCCACTTGGGGTTTTGGAGACGGCCTCTGAGGTGGCCTGGAGTTGAGAGTGAAGGAAGCTGGGGAGTAAACTAGGCACAGTTGTAAAAAAAGGCAGGCAGACTGTGCCCACAGTGGGAACTGCTGAGGCCTGTGGCTGGCTACGGTACATGTGAGCCTGCTGACCCGTGGTGTGGACTTGTGTCTTGACCCAAGGGCTGTGGGAGCCATGGAAGAGTGAAGCAGGGGGAGAGGCGATCACTCAGTCCGTGGTGAGACCCACTTGAGACAGGGCTAAGAGAGGAGCCAGACAGTGGATTCCAGGACCGTTGAGATGAAAGTGGGGTCTGTGAGTAGCTTGGAAAAGAAGCATCTGGTTGGCTTCCAGGTCTGGCCTGTACGCCTGGATGGAAGGTGGGTGTGTGCATGGAGCATAGACTGGAGCTCCGTTTGCAGGGAAAGATTTCAAGGACAGTGTTGAATGTAGAATGCCCATGGAGCATGTAAGACTGAGATACTCCAAGGACAGGGAAGAATCCCAGCATCTATGAGCAAAGGAGTGATTTGGTTGCTACGGGCAACCAGGAGAGCGAAGGCCCTGCAGAGCTGTCCCGGGAGGAAAGGCAGTGGGTGTCGAGTTGTCCAGGCTGTAAAAGAGGCTGCTGGGGGGCATGGTGGGGGACCACTGCCTGCTCTTGGTTGGTTGGTTGGTTTCTTAAACTTCAGGTCCTCTGTGGTTTTCTTTTTTCTTTAATTTTTACCTATTTGAGAAGCAGAGAGAGACGGAGAGCTTCTGTCCACTGGTTCACTCCCCAGATGCCTCAAATGGCTGGGGCTTGGGCCAGGCAGAAGGTTGGAGCAGCCAGGAGCTTAATGCAGGTCTCCCACATGGGTGATGGGGACTCAAGTACTTGAGTCATTGCTGCTGCCTCCCAGGGTCTGTATCACTAGGAAGCTGGAATCCAGATCAGAGCTGGTTCCCAAATCCATGCGCTGTAATATGGATGCAGGCGTCCCAACCGTGTCTCAACTGCTAAGCCAAACGCCCACCCTTGTCTGCACATCTTTGATTAAAAAGGGAGTGATGCATTCTCTGAGGCTCTGGGAGACAGGAGTGGGCCCCACGTATACCAGTTTCAGGAAGACAGATTTTTACCTTCTCAATACAAGCACTTGATTATTGGAGCAATCCAAAAATGAGGTGGGCTACTTGAGGGGTGGGGGGAAGGCAGGTTGGAGCTCCCTGTCATCCCTGCTGGTGGGTCCTCCCACTAGCAAAGGCAGCAGCTCTGTGGAAACAGCCCCCGCCCCCAGTGGAGAGCTAAGCTCGTTGGAAACCCGGCCAGGCCAGCCCAAGTGCTTGGCTGTCTGCTGCGGAGGGGAGCTCGCAGCACAGGGCACACCTGCGTGGCCTCACCTCGGGCCTGCCCAAGTGTCTGGGTGTTACTGAAAGCACGTCCCCAGCAGACCCTCCAGGGAGACCCATCGCGTGCTGCCGGCCCCTTCCATCGGTGAGGGTTACTGAGAGGGACGAGGACCTCCCACCTCCAAGGCAGCCTAGCCTAGCGGTTCCCCACAGAGTGCAGACCCAGCTGCCAGCTCTGTGACATCAAATGAGTGCCCTGGCCTCCCTGAGTCTGTTTCCATTTGTAAAATAAGAATAATGGTAGTTGTCTCATGGCATGGTGAGGATTAAGCCTGGGACTCTACAGAGTGCCACACCGGGCTGACTGGAGGCTTTCTTCTCTGTTTCTGTGTTGAGCACCTGTTAGGGGGCAGGCACTATTCTGGGAACAAACCAGAGAGAAAAATCGCTGCTTTTGTGGATCTTACACCTTGTTGGGAGGGAAGAGGCAGAATGAGCTGATAACGTGCAGTAAATGAAGCTTGTTTTTAGCAGGAGACTCCTGACAAGCGGCCCTCCTGGAGACAAGGCACCCAGCCCCTCACCCCGCCCTGGCATGGCAGAGTCGGTGCCTGCTGGAGAACGCGGGGCATGGGCAGGGACTCCTTGCGGGTGGGAGGGTGAAATCAAAAGAGGTCAAACTTGAAGGGTCATCCGCCTGCGTGTCCTGCCCGCTTCAGCCCCCCGCCCGCCGTCGGCCCTGGGCAGGTCACTTGGGGGTTAACTCCTTGAGATATGTGCTTGAGGACACTGTGCTGAGCTGCCAGCCCTCTTCTCCCCCTGCCCAGGCCTTCCTGTGTAGCGGGGGAGGCGAGCAGGATGTAAGTAAACCAGCAGGGTATCTAGAAAAGTACTGGGAAGGAAATGAAACAGGAGGCTGCTGGGGGAGGCGGTGAGCATGCTGAGGCCTGAGAGCCAAGGCGCACCTGGGCAGTCTCCCAGGATGAGGGCCCCGCGCAGCAGTGAGTTCTGGAGGTGAGGCACCTGGTGGTGTTGAGCAGTGCTTGCCCGGGCCGGCACCCACCACGCAGTGCCTGAGAGCTTCTGATACAATCTGACCTTACCCACCAGCGTGATTATTTTAAAGAGCAACGGGAGGGTGGGGGGCAGTGCTGTGGTGTAGCGGGTAAAGCCACCGCCTGCAGTGCTGGCATCCCATATGGGCGCCGGTTCGAGACCTGGCTGCTCCACTTCTGATCCAGCTCTCTGCTATGGCTTGGGAAAGCAATAGAAGATGGCCCAAGTGCTCGAGACCCTGTACCCGCAGGGGAGACCCAGAAGAAGCTCCTGGCTCCTGGCTTTGGATCAGCACAGTTCTGGCCATTCTGGCCAATTGGGGAGCGAACCAGCGGATGGAAGATTTTCTGTCTCTCTCTCTCTCTCTCTCTCTCCCTCCCTCCCTCCCTCTCTCTGTGTAACTCTGACTTTTAAATAAATAAATAAATCTTAAAAAAAAAGACCCATCAGGAATTGTAAAAGCACTCGTGTGGAGTGGGAATGCAAAAAAACTGTTTTTGTCGCTGTTAAATTTCCGCATGTGTCCTTTGGGGGCTGGGAGGATGTGGCGAGGTCTCCGTCCTGCGGCGCAGTTGCTATCACCTGTCCCTCTGTCCTGCAGAACCTCGGAGCTCGGCCAGAAGAGGAAGGCCGAGGACGATGCGGCACTGCAAGCCAAGAAGACCCGCGTGTCAGACCCCATCAGCAGCTCCGAGAGCTCGGAAGAGGAGGAAGAAGCAGAAGCCCTACTTGCCAAAACCAGTAAGAGCCCTGCGTGCAGGTGCTGCTGGGATCCCTGGGGCTGTGCCAAGACATGGTCTTTCATTTAGTGAGCCTGGGGAGGCCAGCATTTTCAGGGGAAGTTGGGGCGGGGCCACAGGTCTTTGGAGTACCCATCTGTGCTCATCCCTTGTGCTCTATCTCCAAGCTGAAGTAGCAACACCAGGTGCACCCTTACTGTCTTCTTGGGTGCACACGTGGTCACCCCTCCATGGGTGTCTTCCGGATGGCTCTGATAGAGGTGGGAGGAAGCCCACGTTTCCAGAAGTGCTGCCTGGGATCCCAGAGGGCAGCCTCCGGATGCCTCTCCTATGGGCTGCGTCAGAGTTGCTGACCTTCCATTACTGGGGCAGAGTCCACGCTCGCACTCGGAGACTGTGCTGAGCACTCTGGTTTGAGTGTTGGCAGGGTGACCCGGTGAAGGCCTTGGCAGCCCATCCACACCCATGTTCCAGGGCCCTGTGCTCCATCCACCCCTCTCTCCTACACTTTGTATTATTGTTTTCTTTTTAGCTTACATAGAAGACAATTTTTTGATTTTTAAATGTATTTTCTAATTATAAAAGAAATGCAAGATTCATTATAGAGGATTCATAATTGAAAATTAATTTGAAAAAAGGTAGGGAAAAAATTACCCATATTCTTGCCACCTACAATTTCATAAATTACTCTTTCATTTGTTTTCCCAAGCTTTTAAAAAATGTTTGAGGTCATCATACCAGATAAAATATTTTATGTCGTGGGTTAATCTTCTTAAATGATAAATGCCCAAACGATTCACTTTGAACTGCACAAAAACATGAAAGGGAAAACTGCCGGTTCCCTGTTCTGCCCTGCCCCCTCGCATTCCTGAAATCCTCTCTGTGGGGCCCCTTTCAAACTTCCTTTGCATCCATCCACAGGTGATACGTGCATAGCTGCAGACCTATGTACTCTTGAAAACAGTGGTGCAATCTCATCCTGGCTAACAGTTGAATTGAGCTAACAGTTGAGTTTTGTAAGCTGTTAGAATGAAATTACATACTTTTCGAAGAGTCTTCATTGAGAGAAATGTCCTGAGATGTTGTGGACAACATGATAAGAAGTCTGGCAGTCTCTGGATGAGACAGTAGATAAGTGAAAGGAACCACCAGTTGATAATGATTGGAGCCAGGAGGTTCAGTGTTCCCCCTTCCCTCCTTGTGAGTGTGTTTAGAGGGCTCCATAGTCACACAGAGAGGTGGAGTTAGGTGCAGGTGCGAGTCAGATCGTGCCATGCGTCCCCACAGCCTTCTTGAGAGCATATTTGAGAAATCTTCCTCTGAGACCTCGCGTTACTGCCCAGATGCAAACACCGAGGATCCGTAACTCACATGTAACTGGGCACAGGTCTCAGGGTGCTGCTGCCTGTGACAGTCCATGAGCCCTGAGCAGCTTTCTCTGTGGGCCTGCCCGGGCTGCCCGACCCTCGCACCTTCCAGCTGAGCGACTTTCTTCCTGGTGTGGCGGCCCGTGTGACTGGTGCCTCCTGGAGTTGTGCGGTGGCTGTGTGGTAGTGGGCAGCCTTTTCCTTCTGGAGGCCTCTGTCTCGCCTGGCCGGTGGAGTTGGGAGTCCATGAGGATGTGGACGCAGCAGCTTGCGTGGTGCTGTTCTCTTCTTTCCTGCTCCTGGGGGATATGCTAATGCTGCCCAGGCTCTCCCCAGTCTGGGTTCAGCATCGCGTCCGCATGCCACCTCTCAGCAGCCAGTAGCAGGTGAAGTGCTGGGTGAGATGAAAGCTGTTTGCCATGCTCAGATGTGAAAAGCTCATCTGGCTCATCCAACGTGTGTTTGTGTCTTGCAGCCCCAAGGCCAGCGTCTGTCAACTCCTCTGTTACGGCAGTGACTTTGCCGTCAGGCATGAAAGAAAAGGCCAAGGTGAGTGGCCCACCTCGCCAGCCATTGCTGTGGTGGTTGTGGTACCCTGTAGGGGACAGTCCCCTGTGCTGGTGAAGGCACCTGGATTCACATAACCTAGCTATGGAACAGTCTCCTCTTCAAGTAAGGTGGGGGCGATGCCTCCTGCAGTGGGCCACGGCCACGGTAGGCAGCGGGACAGGCAGTTTCTCTCCTCCTCCATCCCTGTGCCTCTCTGTTATGCTCTGGCACTGCTAGGCAGCAGAGACACCATAGTGAACCATTAATACCTGAGGTTCTTAACAGTGATTTTTGAACCAGGAACTATAGGCAATGCTCCAGACGCATAAAGGATTGTGTCCCTGAAAGTGCCTGCAGCGTTAGCAACAGTGTGTAAAAGCAATTACAAAGATGACAATAGCCACACCAAACTGCTGCTTCCCACCCTGCAAGTAGCTTGTATGTCCCAAGAACTGTAATCCCATTCCCTCAAAGCTCTCTGCCCTGCAAGCTGGGGGCTGTGTGTGCCCCCCCCCCTTAAAGATGAGGAGACAACTTCAGGAGGGTGATGAGCCAAGTGTCCCTGTGGGGTGCCCTGCACTCACCACTCTGTCTCTCCCTTCCCTGCAGGCACAGAGCAAGGCGGCCAAGGCTGTGAACTCTGTGCCACACCCTGCCTCTGGGAAGGCCCTAGCCCACCTGCTGACTGGGAAGTCAGCCCGGAAGTCAGGAGAACCCTCAGCAAACACAGTCTTGGCCTCAGAGACCGAGGAGGAGGGCGGTGTCCCGGCCCCTGCACCCACCGCCAAGCCTGGTGAGCAGCCCTGGGCTGGGGAGTTTGGGCTGGGGAGGCAGGCCTGAGCACTGCTTTGTCAAGCTCCAGGCTACTCTGGAACCCAGAGGTTGGGCTGTGGACAGTGAGTGTCCTGTGCCTCGGGCCTTTGTGGTCCCCTAGGTGTGGGAGGGACACTACTTCAGCTCTCCCAATGGAGTCTGAGCAGCCTCGGGAGTGGGTGGACATTTCTGGGGGGCTACATGGGTCCCTGGCAGCTTAGACTTCCCTGAAGAGCCTGGGTTTGCCCCCATTTCCTGTGTGAAGCAGCCAGTGTGCCCTACCTGCTTCAGTGCGTGTGCAGGTGACTGGAACATTTATAAACCCAGGTGCAGGGTTGTTGCGCCCATTCTAGCACAGCCTCAGGTGTGCGGGAAAGCAGGGTGATGATTGTATTCCCTTCAGATGGGGGTTCCAAGGGCGGGCAGAGCTGTAACTGTGCAGCTGGGGAGCCAGTGCTCAGCACCTGGTGGGGGAAGGCGCAGGTGGGTCTGGAACGATAGCCCTCAGTCCCCACTGTGTCTGTCCCTCAGGGTTGGTGTCAGCGAGCCAGGCCGACAGCTCCAGCGAGGACACCTCCAGCTCGAGCGATGAGACGGATGTGGAGGTAATTGGACCCAGCTTCCCGCCCTCCCAGATTCCAGAGCCCAGGGACTGGGAGCTGGCAGGGTTGCTGCCAGGGAGGGGAGCCCTGTGGAATAGGCAGGTGACCTGAGCCCAGCGGGTGTCCCTGAGAAGGGGTGTGGGGTGAGGGCATTCTATTAGAAAGAGATGCAGGTGGGAGTGAGCTTGCTCAGAGGTTTCTAGGCCCACTAGGGGTGCTGGGCTAGAGTCAGGCAGGCCTCTGGGTGTGTGGCTTTCTTGCAAGTCATTCCTTGTGTACCTGCTAGCACCAGTCCTTGTAACACTTTGGAGAACCAGATGGGAGGGGCGTCCCTCAGACTGTTTGACCACAGTAGTAATGGCCACTCTGAAGGGAGAGCATGAGGCTGTCATGGATGAGTGGCCCAGGCTGCAGAGGCAGAGTGTGCAGACAAAGAGGCAACTGGATTTGGTGCTTTGCAAAAATACCGATCTGCGTGACCCAGGGGGCAGGGATACAGCGTGAGGTCGTAAGACGGCACCGTAAGCAGGCTACGTTTTGTTCCCAGGGGATGGGAGATGATACTGCAGGGGTTGAGGCACAGAGAGGGTGGCCTTGTCCAGATTTCAGAGGGATCACGGGCTGCAGCCTGCTGGGAGGGTGAGGCAGAGTGGAAGCAGGGAGACCATCTGGGGCTGCGCGAGTGGTGCTGGGATAAGGTGCCCCGTTTGAAAGGTGTTCTAAAGGGAGGACAGCAGGAGTCAGGGATGCAGCCGTCTGGTGCCCAGGTGCTTGTCTCCCCGTGAAGGCTGAGACGTCACCCGCCTCTCTCCTCGGGCTGGCTGTGGGCCGCTCCCCACCTCGTGTCTTCACCATCGGGCCCTACAGAGCCAGTGAGAAGCACTGCCCTGACATCCCTCACCTTGGGCCTGAACAACAGAGGGAATCACGGCCGACCCGGGGCACCTGCCCTGGTACACAGCCTCGGTGGGCCAGAGGCCGGCTCGGAGCTCCCGCACGGCGGTTAGGCTCAGGGTGAGGTCTGAAGATGAGGAGGTAGATCTGGAGCTCTGAACACCGTGGGCGTCTGTGGTTTCAGAAGGCTCCGAGCTCAGGGGCGGGAGGAATGTGCTTCACGTGGCCCAGCAAGCTAGTGGCAGGACTGGAGGTCAGAGCCAGGCTCCTGGCCCTCGGGACGGCGGCCATGATTGTGTGTCATTTCAGGGGCAGACAAGGCTGTGTATGCCACGCGGAGCCCCAGCCTGACAGCCGAGAGTTCACTCAGAGCCGTGCCTCTGTGCGCTGGTCTTGAGCGATTTAACCTCTGATCTGCTGTGCTCCTGTGTGAAATGGGCCTTGGGACAGCGTCTGTCCGACTCTGGCTAACAGTCATTCGGCGTCGGGCAGGGCTCTGTGGGCTGAGGCTCCTCCAGCTGATGGGAAATAGACACACTGGTTCCTAACGCCGTCCTCTCGTTGCAGGTGACACCGTCAGCGAAACCTGCCCCGATCAGAGCCCCGCCGGCCCCTGCCCAGGAGCCTGCAGTGAGAAGGGCAGCTCCGGCCCCTGGGAAGGTGGGGGCTGTGACACCCCAGGCCAAAGGAGGGGCACTGACCCTGGCCGCGAGGGCCAGGAAGCCGGAAGAGGAGTCAGAGAGCAGTGAGGAGTCTGACAGTGAGGAGGAGGCCCCTGCGGGGAGGCCCAGCCAGGTGAGGCCTGGAAGGCTGCCCATTGGGGCCCCTGCATGCACCCTGGCTCTCCTGGGGCCCGCAGGGGCTGACGGAGTAGCCATGGTGAACATTTCTGTTGAAGACATCCCTGCAGTTGGAGGGGGGAAGGAGAGCCGCGTGCAGGAGGCACAGTGGGGACAGCTGACCCCTGGAAACTGCCCTCTGGCCCACACACAGCCAGGGATGGCCACCTTCCTGAGGGGGGTCCTGCACTCTACTCCGCTTTCCTCAGTTTCCCTGTGTAATAAATGCCCGCTGTCCTCATCCCTGCTGGACCTGCCTGGAGGCCCCTGAGAAGTGGCCTGTGCCCAGGCCTCTGGCCTCCCAGGCAGGGCTGAGCAGGCACGCAGCGCGTTACTGAAGGGAGTCCCTTACCTTCCCCTGCTAGGGACCTTAGCCCCCGAGGCTGCGGGTGCCCATGGGTGGACTACTGTTGGAATCAGAGCAGGAAGGGGACAGAAGGATCAGGGCAGCAGATAAATGATTTCCTTTGTCACATGCCAGTGAGCGTTAGAGAAGGAAGGAGGGTTGGGGTGTGTGTGTGTGCGTGTGCGCGCCCAGGAATGGCAATTTAAAATGTAGTGTTTAGGCAAACCTTAGGAGCAGAGGGCGGGTGCGTGGGAGGTCTTTTAGGAAGGTCATTCGTGGCAGGGAGCACAGTGAGTGCCAGGCCCCGAGGTGGCAGAGGCGTGGGAATGCGCATTCTCTCTGGGTCTTTGTGGGCCTCTCCCATAGTTCTGATCAAATCTACTCCTGAGGTTTTCTAGACTCGCGGGCCCCCAACTGATGGGAGTCCACCAGGGACAGGCTGTGACCACCCTATGTGTGGGGCAGCCTTGGAGGCCATCCAGCGGGCCGGGGCAAGCCACGCTAAGTAGGTGATGTCTGTTGGGGACCCACGGACTGAGGGGCCAGTTGGAAGGGGCAGGGCCGGCAGTGCCCCAAGAGCGAGAATGAAGTGAAGCTGGCCGGCGCTGAAGGGGCTCCAGCCAGGCCAGGCAGGGGTCGTGTGAGCCCCAGTTAGACTTCTGGGCTGTACTCTTAAGGCATCACCAGACAGGTTTTAGAAGGGGGAGTACAAACTGCCCTTTCTCTTTTCCCAGGTGAATGCCTCTACGAAAGTTCTCCAGGTCAGACCTTCCTCAACCACTGCCAAAGGGACCCCTGGTAAAGTGGTCACCCCAGCACCCCCTCGAAAGGCTGGGCTCATTGCCCCCCAGGCCAAGGCAGGCAGGCCAGAGGAGGACTCGGGGAGCAGCAGCGAGGCATCATCTGACAGCGAGGAAGAGACGCCAGCTGCCAGGACCCCACTGCAGGTGAGGCCTGGGCCCTTCCCCTCCTGGCTTTTGGAGGGCGTGTATCCTGCTCTACAAGGCCCCAAGCCCTTTCTCTGTGCTGCCACAAAGTTTCTGGTCTCTGTCTCTGCACGTGGCCACCTTGCTCTCCCTCCCCGTGTTCTAGGCGAAGCCCCCAGGGAAGACTCCCCAGGTCAGAGCTGCCTTTGCCCCTGCCAAGGGGTCTCCCAGGAAAGGGACCCTTCCAGTGGCTCCTGGCAAAACAGGACCTGCAGCCACCCAGGCCCAAGTAGGGAAGCTGGAGGTGGACTCAGAGAGCAGCAGCAAGGAGTCGGACAGCGATGAGGAGACCCCGGCATCCATGGGCGTCACTGTGAGCCCAGCTCAGGTGAGCTGCAGGACCCCCTGCGTGGCGGAGCCCTGCCTGGAAGGGCCCTGGTGGGCCTATCCCTCCTGCCCTGGACCCCACCTTGATCTTGTTGTCCTTTGTCCTTCCCAGGTGAAGCCCTCAGGGAAGAATTCCTGGGTGAGACCCGCACCTACTGTGGGCGCAGGGCCCTCGGGGAAAGGCAGTGGCCTAGCACCCCCTGGGAAGGCAGCGCCTGCAGCCCCTTTGACTCAGGTGGTTAAGCCGGAGGACGAGTCAGACAGCAGCAGCGAGGAGGAGTCAGACAGCGAGGGGGAGACGACCCCGGCTGTGTCTGCCACCCAGGTGAGGCCCCGTCTTGCAAGCCCCTGCTTTCTCTTGTCAGTGCTAGGAGCCCCCTGGGGTTCTCTGTTGGCCATTTGGGCCCTCGTGTCTGTACACTTGCACCCTGTAGGTCCCCTCTGCTGATCCTGTGTGTCTTCCACCAGGCAAAGCCCCCAGGGAAAATCCTCCAGGTCAGACCTGCCTCAGGTCCCACCAAGGGACCCTTGGGGAAAGATGTGGCCATGGCACCTTCCCAGAAGTTGGGGCCCGGGGCCACCCAGGTGAAGGCTGAAAGGGCCAAGGAAAACTCAGAAAGCAGCGAGGAGTCCTCTGACAGCGTGGAGGAGGCACCCACAGCCACGACTCCAGCTCAGGTGAGGCCTGGCAGACCAGGAGCTGCCCCCACCAGCCAGCCCTGCAGGGAGCTTGGCTGCTCCTCGGTCAGAACGTGGGCTCTGGCTGGTGGGGGCAGCAGCAGGGCTCCAGCTGAGGATAGACAGGGCTCTGAATCCAGGAGCCGTTCCAGCCTCTGCCCTCTGTGTCCCCTCAGGCAAAACCAGCTCTGAAAACTCAAGCCAAGGCCTCTCCCAAGAAAGGCACCCCTGTTACCCCTGCAAATACCAAGGTCGCCCCCGTGCGAGTGGGCACCCCAGCCCCCTGGAAGGCTGGCGCAGCCACCTCTCCAGCTACCGCCTCGTCCCCAGCTGTGGCCTGGGGCGCCCGGAGGCCCCAGGAGGACTCCTCGAGCAGTGAGGAGTCAGAGAGCGAGGAGGAGACAGCTCCTGCTGCAACAGTGAGGCCTGTGTGGGCTCGGCGGACCTCGGGGCGGCTCCCATGCTGCTCCAGGCTCCTCTGAGACGTGCTCTTCTGCCTGTCCTTCCAGGTGACCTCTGTGGGCAAAGGCTTCCAGGCGAAAGCTGCCCCGGCGACCACGCCTCTGCTCCCTGGAAAGATGGGGCCTGCGGTCCAGATCAAAGCCAAGGCTCATGAGGACTCTGAGAGCAGCGAGGAGGAGTCTGACAGTGCGCAGGCTGCCTCCACTCCAGCACAGGTAAGGCCTGGGCGGAGCCAGCCCACCCCACCTGTACCTGGGCCAGGGCCAGGGCTGAGAAGGCTTTTCTGGGGCTGCTGTTGTCCCTGGCTATACAGAAGCCTGGGCAGCCTCATTCCTTTCTTTCCATTCTTATCTCTCTGCCCATCAGAGGTCTACCGGCTCCTTTTGTGCCCTTTTAAACCCCACTGAGATTTCGCATGTTTGCACACAGTCTGCTGAGTACTTTCTCATCATGTGCTGTCCTGGTCTGGCCCACTGTGTCTGTGGCCCTTAGGGAGGTTCCACCCAGATGGGACCATGAATGTGCATATGGGTTATTCCAGCAAGAGGGCTTGGCATTGAGACAGAGGGGGCGCTCCTGGGCTAGCAGAACCGGACAGGTCGCAGCCTCTGGGAGGATAGTGTTCCAGGCAGAGAAAGCCTGTGCAAAGGCCTGGGGGTTTGAGTGGGAGTGCCTGGCTTGGGCGACTTCCAAGGAACAGGTTCAGGTGAGATCATACTTCCAGTGTGGTAGAGGCAAATGTCACGGGGGTAGAGCTGCACTGCCTGGATTCAAGTCCCAGCTCTGTATCCTAGCAGATGATGTAACCCATCGGAGGCTCTCGTTACTCTTTAAATCGGAAGTCAGCCAGTTTGGGTGAGATCTCACCTGCCAACCCAGCAAGCTCCTCACTCATCACCCAAGGGTGGGCCCGGCTCCTGGAAAACAGACCTGGAGGTCGGCTCCTCCATCCTGGAAGGAAGAGCGAGGCAAATGCGAGATGGCCCACTCCTCTGCTCAGCCACCCACTGTTTATCATTCTTCATTGTCGCCCTGTTTTGTTTGCAGTAATCGCTCGGAACTTAGTCATTTCTTTTTTCCCAGAACGAGAGCACATGTTGTCGTGGTCTCTTCACCCCGCTCTGAGTTGCCTCGTGGCACCCGAGGTCCTAGGAGTCCTCCCTGAGGTCATGAGCCGTGCAGGGGCCCCTTCCGGCATGGCAGGCTCCTCTGGCCGCCTCCAGGCTGCAGGCATGCCTTCCACGCCCTGAGCCTTACGGTGTTTCACTGTGCAGATCACTTAAATATTTGTCTTTCCATCTGAGCCTCCCACCTGCACCACAAGGTGGGCGTTTTATTTTTATTCTTTGAACCTCGGGTTATTTGGGAGTAGGTTGTTGAATTTCCAAATATCTGGGATTACCCAGGTTGCTTTCTGTTGTTGATCTCTGGTTTAATCGCGCTGTGGTTGGGGAACCTGTCTCGTCTGATTTTAGTCCTTTCTTTGTGCAGTAGGATGCGGCAGGTCAAGTTAGTCCCCTTGCCTTTGGTTTTGCTTTGTGGAAGCTGTGATTCCCCTCCGGCCGCCTTGAGTGCGCCCCACCTGGTCGTGCCATGTGTCTGCGCTCTGGGGAGCTTTCCTCGCCGCACTCTGGCTCTTCGTTTCGCTTGGTCTCCGGCGGGTGCGTGATGCCAGGGGAAGGCTGTCTTCTGACACTGACCAGAGGACGTGTCTGAATGAGTCAGGGCCTTGGGGTGCTGCCCGCTTCCCTGTCCTGGTTCCCAGGAGCAGGACTCTCTCTCTTCTGTCAGGATCTCATGCTGGGCATCTCCCCCTCTGTGGCTCTCACCTCGCTAGAGCTGTTTGCTGGAGACCCTGACAGGCATCGAGGGATTCTCTGGATGTCAGTTAAGATAGGCGAAGCCCAAGACAACTTCAAATAGCACTGGTTTTCTTCATGTTCTGTCATCTCAGCCTCGTAGACAGGGTTGGCTGCTTGAGTTCCAGCTATCAGCTCAGCATTCCAGCCAAGAAGAAGAAGAGCTGGATTTCCTACCTCTTGTGGTCCTTGACTTCTAGTCTGTTAGCCAGGGCTTGATGACGAGGCCCCTAGCTGAAAGGCAGCCTAGAAGGCGCCTGTGTTCTGGGCCCTCTTGCACTGGACTCACGCTAAGAAGAGTGCGTACAACCATGCGTTTATTTGAGTGGATATTATGTGCCAGGCACTCGGGGTCCATTGAATCACCGCAGCAGCCTGATATGGGCCTGATCATCCCCATATACTGAGGAGGAAACAGGCCCGGTGAGATCACTTTGCTCAAGTTCTCAGCCACAGATGGAGCAGCAGAATCCAACCTCAGGCCTCTGACTCCATCACCCCTCACTTCTCGCGCCATAATTCCCTCTTCCTCCAGGTACAGGCCTCTGCAAGAACCCCTCAGACCAAGGCCAGTGCAGCTGCTACAAAAGCATCTTCAGCCGAAGGGGTCACATCACCTCCTGGAAAAGTTGTCGCTGCAGCTGCCCAGGCCAAGCAGGGATCCCCAGCCAAGGCAAGTGGGGCCAGAAGCCGTAAGAGAGGCTGGGAGGTGGGCAGAGAGAGAGGAGGTCTGAGCCTAGCCCCCAGCCTGGCCCAGGGTCCTGCATAGGCTGGGGTGACTTCCCCGAGCCATGGTGGGGAGCTTAGCTTAAAGGGGTCCATCTCCAGTCTCGTGTTTCCTTGCAATTCAGGTAAAGCTGCCTGTGAGAGCCCCCCAGAACAGTGCCCTGGGGAAGGCAGTGGCTACAACAGGCCCGGCCCAAAAGGGGCCCGTTGGGAGGCCACAGGAGGAGGACTCTGAGAGCAGTGAGGAGTCCTCAGACAGTGAGGAGGAGGCACCAGCTCAGGTGAGGCCCAGGGCAGAGGTGGGGAGGGCGTTGTGCTGCCCTCTGATGGGAGCCACGGGAATGCCTCCGCCCCCAGCGCTGCTGCGTGTGCCACATGGATCTCCTGTCTGCACACGCCCGCCCTCGGGACTCCCTCTCCTGATAACTGTTTGTCGCATTCTAGGTGAAGCCCTTGGGAAAGACACCCCAGGTCAGAGCTGCCTCAGCCCCTGCCAAGGAGTCCCCCAGGAAAGGGGTCCCTCTAGTACCCCCTGGCAAGGCAGGGCCTGCAGCTGCCCAGGCCCAGCTGGGGAAGAAGGAGGATTCAGAGAGCAGCAGCGAGGAGTCAGACAGCGGAAGGGAGGCACCTGCAGCCATGACCCCAGCCCAGGTGAGACCTGCCAGTCACTCGCTACTCCGCTGGCTTCAGGGCCCAGTGGGGAAGGAAGAGATGAAGGTCTGTGTGCAGGACCCCTCCCTCAGGTCCTGTATTCCGTGTTTCCTTAGGTGAAACCGGCTGTAAAAAACCCCCAAGTCAAGGCCTCTCCGGTGAAAGGCGCCCTAGGCGCCCCCACGTCTGTGAAGGCGTCCACAGCAAAAGCCGACACACCAGCCCCGTGGAAGGCTAAGCAAGCAAGTCCTGCCAAGGTACACGAAGCCCAGAGTCCAGAGACGTCCCAGCGAGAGTGGGAAGGAGGTCGTGAGGCCCCAGCAAGAGGGAAGAAGTCACCTCCATCGCCAGGGCCTGGGCCTGGGCCTCACGAAGCAGTTGTGAGCACCCAAGGGTCCTCACCTAGCTCGGTGTGAAGCCGAGGCCCTGGGGAGTGGGAAGGGGGGGGCATGAGAAGGCCTCTGTCTGGGCAGCTTTCCATGGCTTGCAAAGGCAGCAGGGCCAGCCGTGTCCTGCGCAAGTTCAGGGTGACCAGCTCCTCTGCTTAGAGGGCTCAGGCATGTGTGGAGCTGATTGACAGGCCTGGTGGAGGTCTTGGGTGGCAGCTGGCATTGAGCCTTGGAGTCAGGAGAAATAGCAGAGTGTTAGCCGCTAGGGCAGAGTGCAGAGCCCTCGCCTGGCGTAAAGGGGCAGTCCCTGTCACCTCCCATCGCTGGTGGCCTTGTGGTCGTGTACTTGCGGCATGGCCAGGTGTCCTCCTCAAGGGAAGCCAGGAGTGCCCCAGGCCAGCCTGCCTCTCTTGATTTCAACTTCCTCAAGAGTAAAGCAAGTACAGAGAATCCTGGTAAATGCTCTGCCTTTGGTACACCACACCCACAGTGTTGGCCCCGCCCTCAAGGAGCTTACCATCTTTAGGGTGGGACAGGTGCCTGTGTTGTCACAGAATGTTCTGGTGGTGTGCCGGGTGATGGGGCTGGGGATGCGTTTCTGTCAGGACGGGCTGAGCTGTGGGCAGAACCCCACTATGAAGAGCTGACGCAGTAGGAGCTGCCTGTCCCCAGGCCGAGGTGGCGCCTTCCCCAGCTTGCACCGTCGGTGCCCAGGTTCTTTCTGTCCTGGTGCTCCTCTGGCCTCAAGTTCATGGCTGGCTAGGAAGTCCCCCTGGAGGCTCTCCCTCTAGGTCTTGCCCAGGCCTCTGGCTCAACGTGCTGCCATCTCCTGCCAGTCTTCAATGAGTGGCCTGCAGTCCCCATGACTGGCTGGCAAGAGGGGCCGCCAGAACGCAGTACGGCTTGTGAGCAAGGCAGACAGGCAGGGCTGGCAGGGAGGCAGCCCACTGTGCTGTAACTGCCCCATTGGAAGAGTGAGGAGAGATGGGCACACATCTAGATCTGCTCACTTCTCCTAGCAAGTCAGAAGCTCGGACAGCCTGGGCCCCACCCTTCGCTGGGCCAGGTAGTAAGATGTGGGACCTCTGGCCTCCGCTGAGCTGGTGTCACCACCAGCGCTTCCTCTCGCCTCTCTGGGTCCTCTGGTTCTGGCTACAGTGTCCACCAAGGAGGCCCCTCTTATGTCCAGCCAGGTAGCAGGGGCCGGCAGCCAGCGGAGTACTTGGCAGCCCTCCATTCCCTGGGGAGTATTACAGCAGCTAGGAGCTGTGTAGGGACCTCCGGCTCATACCTGCAGCCTCGCCTGAGGCAGCTGTCCCTGTCAAGTTCAGCATCAGCTATGGAAGGAGGGTAAGCAGGGCGGAGGCACGTGCTTCCAGTGTCTGGGGGCACACCAGGCCAGCACCTGTCCCCTCTGTGTGTGCAGGGAGGGGCTGCGGTGCCCTCTGCGGAGAGGCAGGTGCGTGCAGTGTGTCACTCGCTGGCTACCTTTCCTTCTCAGCTAATGCCCTTCCCCCACTGTGTGCTTATTCAGGTCTTATCGCCTCGCAAGGACAGTAACTCCAAAACACCCAGAAGCAAGACCCTCACCCCAGCACCCCCAGAGAAAAAGGCACAGGAGTCCTCAGAGAGCAGTGATGAGGAGTGGCCTTCGAGCCAGGTAGGCCGTGCCTTCTTCCTGCAGCCTCTAGGGGCTCAGAGCCGGCTGGTGGCTGCGGAGGGAGGGTGCAGATCTCTCCCACAGGGCACATCTCCCCAGAGCGCCTTACCCCAGGACACCGCCCTCCTGCCATGACTGTGTGAGGCAGGCAGCAGAGCATGGTCGAGCAGGCAGGCTTCAGTGCAGATGGAGCCTGGCGCCACCAGCCACCGGCTCCTGGCTGGGCAGTGCCTCGTTGACCCTGAGGCTCAGCTGTTTTGACCATTCAGTAGGGACAGTGATGGGTCTCCCCTGAGTGTGTGCTGATGTAAGCACAGAAAGCCCTGGCTCAGCCCCCTGTCAATCAGGCCAGGCAGTGTAGGCCCATTAGATAGGTCAGAAATCGAGGCCTTGAGAGCCAAAGTGATTTCCCAGATGCTCATGATGCCCAGCGGGCTAAGGAACGTGCAAACATCAGTCCCTGGCTCCCTGGCTCCCTGGCTCCCTGGCTCCCTGGGAGTACAGAGATGCTGGATCCTGCAATCCCCAGACCAGGGGGTCTGCTTAACCATCTCCCCTTCCACTACTACGCCCTTGTCAGTGCATCAGTGCTGAGGCCTGCAGATACAAAACCAATGACAGCTGAAGTTACTGGTTACTTCCTCTGTGCAGAACCCTGGACTTTATCGTTCTGTGCAGTCTCCACAACGACCCGGAGAGGACAGGTCCTCTCATTATTTCCATCTTCCGGAGGAGGCTGTGAGGCTCAGAGAAGTAGAATGAGCTGCCCCAGCGTCACGTGGCTGGTGCCAGGTAGACAGATCCGGTGTTTGAATGCAAGCCAGCCTGGGTTCCCTGGCAGTGCCTGACACGTTGCTCTCCGGGGCTCAGGCCTTGCCCCGTGGCTCTCTCGGGAGTCTTTGTGAAGCAGCCTCCCTCTCCGAGGGCTCTCAACAGCCGAGAGGGAGGGGGCCCCTTCGCCTTTCTCTGCGGGGGCGTACTAACACAATTAAAATGAACATCACGCTTAAACTGAACCGCTTAATTGGTATGTTAGTCCTGAAGATTCTAGAGTCCCTACTGAAAAAGCAGAAGGGAAGAAGTCAGGAGTCGTGCCTTCCCCCTGGAGGATTCAGGGCAGACGGCGCAGCCCAGGGAAGCTGCAGCCTCCGCCTGCTGGGGGACTTGCAGCTCCTTAATCCCCAGCTCGCTCATTATGATTATTATGATTATTATGCATTTACCGAGCGCTTTCTATTGACAAGTCTCACTGTGTTTATTATTAGCCCATCTGTGGGGGAAAGGAGGCGATGCAGGGGGGGGTGGGCGGAGCCCTGGGCTGGGAGGCTGGGGAGGAAGCGTGGCTCCCTTCGAAGGCCCTGCACCGTGCCTCAGGCCTGTTGTGCCTTGTTAACCTCAGGCCAGGCTCTGTGCTGACAGTGGGTGATGGTAACAGGAAAACGCTAAGTTGGCGAAGCAGCGCATATGTTTGGTGCTTGATTTAGCCACCCCATGGTGCATACATGTATCAAAACATGGTCTATTCCATAATACATACCGTCTTTACTTATCAATTCAAATTAACCAATTTGTTTAAAGTGCCACTTTTTCCATTACTTTGCCAAAACGTTAAAAGACATATAGGTCCCAAAAGGACACCTTGAAAGAAATTAAAGGTGTTTAATGGAGGCCGCCTGTGATTGGAGAACTGACTTGCAGTCCTGGCTTTGGTACCAGTTTGCTGGTCACCCTGGGCAAGACCACTTCCCTCCCTGAGCCTCTGCCCTCCGAACCCCAGATGGCACCCACAAAGAGGGGGCATCCTCCGTCAGTCTGGGTGGGGCTGGCCCAGGGTCTGGTGACCAGTCCCCAGGCAGTTCTGCGGGAGGCTCTTGGAGGCATGGTGCCTTTGTGACTGTGCCCTTGCCGGGTTTGGCAGCCTGGGCCGCCAGCTCTGCACCCTCCTGCTGCCCTCACACGCTGGCTGGGGCAAGTGGTGTGCGCTCAACTCTGACAGGAGGCAGGGAGCGCTGCCCAGAGAGCCCCAGATTTGGTTCTGCAGGCCTCAGGCCCGTGGGCAGCAAGGGAGCCCCTGTTACTCCTCTGGTCCTTACTGCCCAGCGCCTGCAGTGAAGCATAAAAGCATGGCCAAGCATTCGGGCAGTGATGGTTTCACTGCTCCGGTGACCGTAGAAGCAGGCCCCGTGCAGCGTGCAGAGCTGGGCAGAGCCCCTGCAGTGGGTGAGCCCAGCCTGCCGTGACTGCTCCCCCTTCCTTCAGGTGGGGAACCAAGGCTGTCCTGGTAGGGGGGGGACACAGCCCACGCCAGTGCTGCCCACCTTACTAAACTCTGCAGACTTGGTCCTCACACTCCCACTGCAGACAGCACTGGGCCTTGGTCCCCCTCCTGCTCCTCCCCGCCCTCCGCAGCCGCAGCCAAGCCTCCTGCCCCACCTCCTTCCCACAGCCCAGGGGCCCCGGGTGGGCCGGCGTGGGCAGGTGGAACCCGGAGGCGGTGTTTGCTGCTGAGACGCTTTTAACATCCCAAGACGCTATTGTTTGCCTCAGTGGGTTCGTTGCCTCTCTTGGTCCTCGACAATCTGTTCCTCTGTCTTCTCACATATATATAGATCCCCCTCCCTCCACTGCAAGCCTTCTCCCACTTTCCATCCTTCCCCTTTCCATCACGTGGGAAGGAAGGCTCTGGAAGTGGCAGATCAGAGCAGCCACGGGGGCGGCTGCTTGGCAGGGCTAGGGAGGGCCTGAGCCCGGAGAGCTTCCCCCTCAGGCAGGCCCCTTCCTGCTTTCCTTCTGACTTCAGCTCTCTGCAGCAGCCCAGGTCGCTGAGTCAGGCCCAAGACCTGAGCAGTGTGGTGCGGTAGACAGAGAGCTGGCCCCAGCGACCCTCCCCACCCCTTGACCTCAGGCCGTGCGTCTCCCCTGGCTAGAGGGGGAGTACAGTTTGAACAGCCCCGCCAAGTGCGGCCTGGAACGGGGACACCCCAGCTCCCGGGCTCTCCTTAGCTGGAGGTCTCGGGGGATGGCCCCGGACCCGGAGTCCTGCTGCGTGCAGCCGTACGTCAGGAGCCAGGGTTCCCGGCCCCGCGGCCCTGCGGAGCCCCCCACAGCTGTTGCTGCCCACTTGCTTGCACTTTCTGTTATCATTTTATTGGGAAATGTAAAGCATACCCAAAGATAAAATTACATAAAGAACCCCCACAGGCCTTCCCCAGCCTTGGCAGTTACTGCCTCCTGAGCGGGCTCGTTTTGTGCAAACCCCTCCACTCGCTTCCCCACATCTAAAGCGACTTTGAAGCCAGTTTCAGGCGTGGCACGTCATCCACCAGGATTTGTGCACAACCACAGTTCAGCGTCACCCCTGAAAGGGACCCACCCAGACAGCACCCCACTTCCCCGATGGTCTCGTGATGGGGTGCTCAGTAAGAGTCCCAACACTGGGTGCTACGTCGGGGGACAGTTGGTCCCCTCGTTCATCAGCATTGGATGCTGCCCCACTCTCCAGCCCAGTTCCCTGAGCAGCTTATTTGCTGGGAAGTGAGGTGGGTGTCCCTGGGGAGCCGCGTCCTGGGAATGCTGCCTAGTGTTCCCAGGATGGGGCAGCTGGGCTGTGGAGGCCTCCCCGGTAGACTGTGCGCCACACCTGGGAGCCGTGGAGAACGCTGCTCGGCCCGCCTCGGGGGTAGCTGTCTCTGAAGACGGTCAGAGGCAAACAGGCTAAATAGGCTCTTGTGCCCAGTGGCCTTGCTCTGTGGCTTCGGGCAGCCGTCCTTGTTCCTGCAGACTTGGGCTTTCCCACTGTACCACACTGACCCTGGGAGTTCAGTGTGAGGGCAGATGGGCTGCTGTGGGCTGGGAGGTGCTGGGCTGGGGGTACCCCCCAGCTCTTTGGACCCCTTGCCTTGTGAAACCCTTCTCCACCCCACCTCCCTTTCCTCTGACCAAGCCTTTAATCACTAGGGGGTGTGTTTTGTTTTTGTTTTTCAAGGTGATTAAACCCCCTCTGATTTTTGTCGACCCTAATCGTAGTCCAGCTGGCCCGGCTGCTGCCCCCGCACAGGCCCAGGCTGCGGGCGCCCAGAGGAAGACCCGGGCCTCGGAAAGCTCAGCCCAGAGCTCCTCAGACACCGAGGATGAGGACGTGATCCCCGCCACGCAGTCCTTGGCTCCTGGTGAGCACAGCCCCGCGTGGAGCTGACTCCCGTGCTGGACTTCCCAGGCTCGGCTGGGAGGGCCCGGCAGCACCACCCCCATCGAGGGACAGGACGAGGGCCTCTTGCACAGCCAGGTGTTGGTCAGCAGGGCTTGGGGCTCGGCCTTCAGGTTCTGCATCAGGCATCTGGATGCGAGGCTGGCTCACCTGTGGCCCTGGAGCAGTAATTGCCAGGACTTCCCTGGGCCACCCCAGGCATGGGACCCAGACCACTGGCTGGAAGCTGCCCGGACCAGGCTCCTCTGGAGCTAGGGTGCTGTATCAGTGGGCTGTCAGGAGGGTATTGAGGCACTTGTCTCATTAGGTGATCCCTAAACAGGAACTCTTCGGGGAGGGACTGCGTCAGCAGAGACAGGACCAGCTCTGGGGTTTGACTTCTGAGATTCTTTGCTTCTACCAGTGATAGCAAGAAAATGGTCGATGTCACCATTGTTGATGTTACACTTTTACGAGGAAGTAATATCTGATAACTGGCGAGATAGTTGAGACATACAGGTTAGCACAAAAGAAGACAACACCCCCTGTAATCCCACTGCCCCCATCACTGTTGAGGGTTTAGTTGCTAACCTTACAAAACCCTAGGATGGACATGTTTGTCTTTAAAGTGAGGCCCCGGGATTCTGAGTGGCTATCTCGGGATGCTGTGGGATTTTGGTCCTCCTATCCTTCCCGCGTGGTTCCTCCTGGCCAGTGCCCTGTCAGAGGACGCGAGGGTTTGGTGGGGACTGTTGTATCCGCTGCTGCAGTGAGCAGCACGCAACCACAGACGCTTCGGGCGATTTTCGTGAGATGTTGCAGCCACAAGGACGGCCCTGGCCGCCGCCTGCCAGCCTCTTGCTCAGGAGCAGCAGCCTGGCCTGCGGAGAGGCGAGCGGAGGAAAAGAAACTCACTGCCATAGCAGCTCTTCGGGCCCCCTCAGCCCAGCTGTGACACAGGGACAGCGCCCGCCTGGCAGGCTCGAGGAGGGGCTACGCCAGCTTCCTCCTGTAGAAGCCCTGAGCGTGGCACAGGGCCCCAGGAAGGGCTGAGTGCTGGACTGGGGTATTGCCAGTGCTGGGGAGGCCGTGGGGCTCCTGGGCACTTACTTGCCCCATCCCTCTCTTTTTCAGCCTACAGAACCAGCGTGGTGCCCACTGGCCGCCCAAGGACAGGCCTTGGGGCCAGCGGCAGCGAGGAGAGCAGTCGGGTGTCAGAAGGCAAGAAGCAGGAGACACCAGCCCCGCAGGTACCTGCACAGGCCTGTGGGCCAAGGGGCTACAATTGGCTGTCACCTGCACACTTGTGCACCCCAGCGGTGGCAGTAGCCAAGGCCTTCCTGGTCTTGTGGCCACAGCCCGCAGGTTTCAGAGCCACCATAAGCTGTCAGGAAGAGCAGTCTGGGGACACAGCTCTGCTGGCCAGTTGCATTTTTGTTTTCTTTGCATGAACATGATAAATGCTCTACTTAAGCATGTGTTATGGTGACTTTATTGGTCTCCCTGACAGTCACCATTTCAGTGCGTGTTTGGTCCTTGCCTGAATCTCAAGACTGCGCAAGGCAGGATTGGTGGCCCACTATCTCAATGTTGAAACTAGCTTGCACTCCCCAGGGGCCTCCAGTTTGACCGGGCCTGGGCTCAGCAGACCTAGCTCTTGGCTCTCAGCATCTTTGGCCATACTAGTTTGCTGCCCATCGCCTGGAGAGACGCCCACTGCAGACCCCATGCCTCTTTCTGAGGCACTGGTACCTGGGCATGCCCCCCTCTCACTGGCTCTTCACGAGCCACAGTCCAGGGAGAGTTTCTGGGAGCATGGGTGCTGGGTGGGTAGCCAGGCTGGGGTCACAGCCCCCAAAACCCTGTATCCCTCCATGCCAGGCCTTGGGGCTGAGGCCAGAGCAGGACGGGGAGGACAGCAGCCATTAAACAAAAAGTTCTCACCAAATTGGAGGTGCTGCGGAGAGCACCAAGCGTAAGCTCAGGATGATGGGGTGACCTGCTATAGGAAGTTGGGCAGGGAATGCTCGCCCGGGAGGTGGCCTTGAAGCAGGGGACGTGGCCGCGTACAGGGTGTGCTGGGGTGCCATGCAGGCAGGAAGGCCATGGTGCCATGACCCCAGGCCTGGGAAAGCATCTAAGAGAAGGTGGGGAGAAAGTAGCAAAGGCAGAGGGGCTGTGCGACAGCTGAGGGGCCCTGCGTGGGAACCTTGAGGCCCTCTGCAAGGACTCTCCCAGCTTTGAGTTCTCTCCGAGTGCTGGTGGGTGGAAGAAGTAGGAGTGGTACCAGGGAGACCACGAGGCGTGAGATGGGTCTCCGAGGAGGGCAGAGAATGAGTGTGGAACTTCCTGTAGGGCCCGGGCCCCTTCCCTGCTCTGGCCTAGGAAGCTCGCTCTGCACTTTGAGAACACGGACCAGCTCATAACCTGAGGCCTGGCACTCCTTTCTCTGCCTAGAGAGTGATATTGCTCTTATGACTGTCCCTCAGCCCCCCCACTCAAGTCCCATGGCTCCTGGTACCTGGGTCCTCTCCCACCGCAGCCAGACCTAGTCTGATCCAGGCACGGCCTAGGTGACACCCCAAGAACCCATGAATTTCAGGGCTTCTATTTGCTATCCACAGGTGGCAAAGAGGAACCCAGCATCCCTCCCGCTGACCCAGGCTGCCCTGAAGGTCCTCGCCCAGAAAGCAAGTGAGGCCCAGCCTCCTCGTGCCAGGACCCAGTCTTCAAGCGGGGTGAGTCTGGGGAGCCCGGGGACCACACCCCCTCGCTTTGCTCCAGAGGCAAGGCTGTGTTCACCTTTCAGCCCCGCCACAGGGTGCAGATGGGAGGCTGCGGGTGTGGCCGAGTCCCGGCCTCAGGCCTTGCTGCCCTGGCACATCAGTGCTGTCTCGATGTCCCTGGGCCACGGTGGGCTGATATGGGAGAAGGACTTGCAGGACCCCTCTTCAGAGTGGTGGGAAGCATCTCAGGAGGCCCAACACTGAAGTGTTCAGGCAGGACCAGGTCTTACCCTGATACTTCCTTCCGTTCTTAAACCAAATTAGGTTGACGGGACTGTGGGAACACTCCCCGTGACGAGTCCTCAGAGCGCCGCTGTCCAGGCCAAAGTGACCAGTAACCTCAGAAAAAGCAAAGGCCAGCAGACCACAGCCCCTCCCTTGGGACACCCCAAGGCCAAAGCCCCTGGGAGTTCAGATGACAGCGAGGACAGCAGCAACAGCTCCTCAGGGAGCGAGGAGGGTGCCGAGGGACCCCAGCTGACCAAGTCGACCCCCAGGCCAGGTAAGGTGCAGGGAGGGGTGGGGAGGGACGGGCAGCCCAGGGGAGAGAGAAGCGCACCTAATGGAGCAGCAGGCCGTGGCCTGAGCTCTGGATCTCGAATTTTTCCATGGCCTGGGCCAAGTGGTTGCACGCTGGGCTACAGCTTCCCCGCCTGCACAACTCCGTGAGGGACTCAGTACAAATGATTTCAAAGACCTGACCCCTGGCAGCGTTTTGATATGCTCCCTTTAATGACCAACTCCCTAAAATTCCGGGTTCGTGTTTCCCCGACGAGGGAAGGTGGGGAAATATGAGTGGTGTCTTGGGAATTAGAAACCAAGGCTTGGGCGTTGAGGTGTCACCTGGAATGCTGTGGATGGGGATCCATAGGAAGCCTTGGGCAGGTGGGTGAGGACACACCCAAGATCAGGGCCTCCCCAGGCCCTTCTGAAGAGCTCTGCTCTGCCCTGCCCAGCTGGCAGGAGCCACCAGGGACTCCCGACAGGATACCTGTGCTTCTCCAGCAGGTTCAGTCCCCGCTGGGAAGGAGACCTTGGTGGAGGAGACCTCCGAGTCCAGTGAGGATGAGGTGGTGGCGCCTTCCCAGGTAACTGCGGGGCGGGGGACAGTGTTGGTGACTTCATGCGTCTTGGGCCGGGAACCCCGGGCCAGAATCTGGTCTGCCTTGTGCAGTCCTAGGCTGAGGCCGACCCCGGGCAAGGTCCTGGTTGCAAGCCACCAGGTGTGGCCCAGGCAGCACAACACAGCCAGGCTGCTCCTGCCCCGAGGTTGCACTCAGCTCAGAGCTGCAGGTTGTCAGCCTCTGGGGCTGTAGGAAAGACTGCGCTGCGTTCTGAGTGGCGCCAGGCAGAATGCAGGGGGCTGCCCCCTGTCCGCGGCACGTGCTGCTGATGGTTTGCTTTTTCTTAGTTTTTGGTTTTGGTTTTCTTTGTTTTGTTTATCTGAAAAGCAGAAAGAGACGGAGGTGTCTTCGTCAGCTGGTTCACTCCCCAAGTGACCGCTATAGCCCAGGCTGGGCCACGTGAAGGCCAGTAGCCAAAAACTCAATATGGGTCCCCCACGTGGGTGACGGGGACACAAGTACTTGAGCCATCCCCTGCTGCCTCCCAGGGTGCACATTAGCAGGAAGCTGGAATGGAGACCAGAGTTGGGACCCTAACCTGGGCACTCCCATATGGGATGTGGGCGTCCCACGCAGCAGTTTAACTGCTGTACCAAATACCAAACCTCCATTTGCATTTATAATAGGAGATTTCCTTTTTAAACGTGTCTGCATTGATTAAAATAATTTAGAAAGTGCACACGGAAGTCCCCCTTGGGGACTGTAGTGTCCACTCTGCATTGACAGGCCTGGCCTGGACCTGGATGTGCCAGGACCGGCTTCCTCCCAGCAGGCCGTGTGGCGGGGGCAAGGTGGGGTGGGCTGGCGGCCTCTTTCACACTGGGCTTCTGCAGTCTCTCCTCTCAGGTTATGTGGCTCCTGGGCTGACCCCAGCCAATTCCCAGGTTTCAAAGTCTACTCCCAGGCCAGACTCCAACCCTTTAGTTTCCTCTACTCCGGCTACCAAAGATGACCTGGATGGCAAGCAGGAGGCAGAGCCACAGCAAGCCGTGGGCACTGTGTCCCCTAAAGCAGGTGAGTTAACAGACACAGCAGGATGTGGGAAGACAGGGCCGTGGGTCCCTTCTTGCCCTGCCCCAGCAGCACTCCCACCAGTACCTGTCCAAGTGAGGCCTTGTGGTTCTGCCGTGGGCCTGGAGGAGCTCATCCAGGCACAGGGATTGTCTGTGGTCTGGGGTGGCCTGACGTTGAGTTGTATCCTGCCCCGAGGGGTGATATGCCTGTGGGATGCCCCTGCCTAGAGGAAGCAGCATCTTCGGCCTGTGGAGTGGGCCTTGCCTTTCTCTAGCCGTGCTTGCTGACTCGTCTTCCCAGCGAATGGGCTCCTGGGCCCGTGTGGGGCTCAGACCAAAGGGTGGGCCATGTGTGGAAGAGTCTTGGCACATGGAGGACACTCTGGCTAAGGGGTGGCCCCCAGGCTGTTCCGCCTTGCCCTAAAGCCTCCCAGCAGGCCATCAGCCCCTGGGCCTGTGTCTTAACAAGGCAGGGGTCAGTGTCTCTGGTCTGAATCAAGCTGTGCCCCCCCCCCCCACCTTGGAAAATAGCCGCATGATATTTGAAGAGTAGACCAGAGGACTGAGGTCACCCGACCTGGACATTTGTCATCCCTGACACTGCCAGAGCTACAGGGCAAGTGTCCTGGATGGACACACCTACGACAGCACTAGGGGTTCCTCAGCCTCCACGTTCAGAGCTGTTTGTGGATAAGGAGCAGAGCAGTGAGCTCTGGGGCAGAGGCTGTCAGGGCAGATGGCACACTCAGCTTTCCTTTCCAGATGGCTCTTGCCCTTGCCAAGAGTCCCCAAAAGACTGGATCGGGCTTCCTCCGGCCGGCGACCCCCACACGGGGCTGGGGCATAGTCAGGCTCCCTGCACACCACAGGGAGCAGCACCAGCTTCGTGTGACACAGAGTGCCCTGCTGGGCCTCTCCCAGTGGACCTGTCCAGGGCTGGTGTGGTGGAGCCCTGTGCCGCGTGGTCCTGGGGTCAGAGGCAGCACTGGGGTCCAGTCCCCCGGCTTCTCGGTGCAGCTCGCCCCGGGCTGGGTCAGGAGCAGAGCCACTGCTCACTTTCTTCTCCAGTGTTCTCCTTGTTGGAGGCGGGTGCGACAAGGAGATGTTTTAGAGGGGGCTGTGGAAGGTTTTTTTAACACGTGTAGTCAGCACACAATTATCAAAGGCAGGCAGAGGCGTGGAAAATTCTAAACAGAGGCTGTACCAGAAGTCGCTCTGGCAGGCAGTGAATCTGCTTAGTCAGCCACCACGTGTGCGCCAGGACACCTGGCACCGAGGCGATGGGCCCACCGTGTCAAGTGGGCAGAGCCATGCGCCTGCACGGCGTTCACTTCCATTGGGAGTCCGCTGCGGATGACAGGAACCTTAAGACCAGGAGGAGCAGAGGCTGGCCAGAGTCACAGCAAAAAGGGGTGGCCTAGCGTGGCCCAGAACCCAGGCTCCAGCCTCCAGCTACACACGCGGTCTGCCCTGGCCTGCCTTCCACGTCCCAGTTACGCTCCAGCTCTAGGTCGGGCTTGTCTGAGTGGAGGTTGGAGTGAGAGAGAAGCTGTAAGTTAGAAGTGAGGTCAGTGTAGGAAGCTGGCAGAGGCGTGGGCTTAGGAGCCAGATTGGGGCGTAGTGACCCGTGGGCTGCACTTTCCTCATCGGTGCCATTGTCGGGAGGCAGGGTCTCCCCGGAACCTCCTCGGCTCTCATACCCCCAGCTCCCATAGGTCTGACCCCAAGTTCTTTCTCCACAGGTAGAAAACAGGCCACCTCTGGAACCACACCTCAAAAGCCCCGGAAGCCCAAGAAGGGCGCCCCGGGCACCCAAGCCTCAATCCTGCCAAGCAGCATCACCCAGCGCCTCCTGGGCGAGCCCTGGCCCCTGAGTGAGGCCCAGGTGCAGGCCTCGGTGGTGAAGGTGCTGACGGAGCTGCTGGAGCAGGAGAAGAAGAAAGCCCTGGACGCCTCCAAGGAGAGCAGCAAGAAGGGCCGCAAGCGCAAGCTGGTGGTGGACCAGCTGGCCCCCAAGGCCCCCAAGAGCAAGAAGAAGAAGCCGGCGGCGGCTGGGGAGTGTAGGGAGGGCGCTGATTCTCAAGAAAAGGCCTCCCGGACTTCCAAGGGGAAAGCAAAGAAAGACAAAGCGAGTGGTGATGGCCAGGAGAAGAAAGGGAAGGGGCCTTTTGGCTCCCCAGGGGCCAGGGACAAGTCAGAAGGGGAGCTCGGAACAGCGAAGGTTGAGGGAGGCGATCAAAGCAACTCGAAGAGCAAGAAGGAGAAGAAGAAATCTGACAAGAGTAAGTGACTTCATATCCTCAGGCCACGCTAGGGGCTGCCAGGGACCCACAGGGCCAGGAGGCTCAGCGCTGGTCTCTCTCCCACAGGGCGGGTGAGGACAGGCTGGGAAGTGGTTTGTCCGGGATTGTGGAGACAGCTAATAGCAGGCAGGATGGGATTCCAGAGCACCTGGTCAGTGCTGCCAGGGAAGCCCCGGGGCGGCCTGCTTCCCTGGCCACCTCCCTGAATGCAGAGGGGACCCGAAAGCAGAACCCCTGAACCTCAGGCCCAGCTCTGCCCTCCCGGCCTGTTTCCCGGTAGTAGCAGCGGTCTTGATCGAGCTCTGTGCTAGGCTGCGTGCCCCGGGACTTCCTTTCACCCTCAGGCAGTTGGGGTAGGCCGTGCTGTTTTTTTAAAAAGTGTGTAGAAGTTTTAAATTACAGTGAGTTAATGTAAAATAGTCATGGTGGACGTTTGGTACACAAGTTAAGGTACCACTTGAGACACCGTAAACATCAGAGTACCTGGGTTCTAGTTCCACCCCCGCTGACAATTCCAGCTTGCTAATTGTGCACCCGGGAGGTAGCAGGTACTGACTCACGTTCTTGGGTCCCTGCTACCCACACAGGAATCCCAGATTGAGTACCAGGCTTCTGGCTTTGGCCTGGCCCATTCCCAGCTGGTGCAGGCTTTTGGGGAGAACAAGTAGATGAAGATCTGTTTCTGGATCTCATCTCTCTGCCTTTCAAATGAATAAAATAAATAAATAATTATAAAGATTGTTTTTGAAAGAAAGCAAGACAGAGACAGATCTTTGATCTGCTGGTTCACTCCCTAAATACCTGCAATAGCTGGTGCCAGGCCAGGATCCCGGGACCTATCCGGGTCTCCCATGGGGGTGGCAGAAACCCAAGTGCTTGATCCATCACCTGCTGCCTCGCAAGGGCATTAGGAGAGAGCTGGATGGGACGCACAGGACTCAGACCAGCGTTCCCGTGGATGAAGGCATCCCAGGCAGCCGCTCAGCCCCTTCACCAAAATACCTGGCCCTAATGAATAAAAGTGTGAGTAACACGAGATAGAGGCCAGGTGGCATGGATGAGAAGGAGTCTGAGGCTGGCCCTCGAAGGGCACTGTGGTAGCCCTGCCCGGGGCCCGGCCTCACCCCACAAGCTCCCTGAAACTGACCCCACGGCTCAGGATTGACTTCTGTTGTTCAGGAAGCTTACTTTCTTCCCTCAGAGAAAAAAGACAAAGAAAAAAAGGAGAAGAAGAAGAAAGCAAAAAGAGCCTCAGCCAAAGACCCTGAGTCACCGTTCCAGAAGAAAAAGAAGAAAAAGGTAGAGTGCGTGTGGAGGGGGCCTCGGGCCGGGAGGCACAAGCCCTGTCCCCTCCCCCACACGCCTGCCTGTCCCTGCCTCTTTCCCTTCTCGAGGTCTGGAGGGCGGGGGTGTGACACCTGTGAGGCAGATGGGTGTTGAGGGGGCAGGGGACTGGGAGCAGCCGCGGCTCCCAGCTAGGCGCCTGACCCCAGGGCGGCCCTACTGCAGCAGAGCCTTGGCCACCCTGGAGGACACCAGGCCCCAGCCCACAGGCACCCCTGCAGCCCCAGGGGGCCGCCACGCCCGCAGTGGTGGGAGCAGTGTGGGTGGGACAGGCTGCAGGTGCAACAGCCCTCGCATTCTCTCCTCACAGAAGGTGGCCGAGCAGGCAGTGTGAGGGGCCGGGCCGAAGGCACAGGTACACTCCCTGATCCCCGAGGTGGGAGGGCAGGGTTGGCCCCCATCGGGAGGGGGCTGCAAGGGCTTCCATCCCTCAGGGCCAGCACAGTGATGCCAGGAGCTGGGGTGGTAGCCTCAGGAAGGCCCAGAACAGTCATGCGGCGGCCGGCCTTGCTCGTGTGCTGGGGGTGGCTCATGTCCCGCCCGCGTGTCAGAAATGCCAGGTTTTATTCTTGGTGGAGAAGGGTCAGGAAATCTTACATCTGAACCTTTCCTTCCCTAGGAATCTCTTCACTGAGTGGTGACTGCCCCATGCCTCTGACCTCTGACCTCTGCCCACCGTGGGCTGGAACTGATTTTAGAACTCCTCTCCGTGCGGCAGAAGCTCATCAGTCCAGGGGCTCCACACTGGCCAAGCCAGTGAGCCTGCGGGGGGCTGGTCCGATGAGGTGGGTGGGCCCAGCTCCCATGGCCTCGCCCACCCTTCCCAACATGGGCGCTTGCGTAGATGTGTACAGTATATATATTTTTTTAAGGGACCTGCCTCTTGCTCTTCAAACCCAACCTGCCCAAAGGCCTTGGGACTTGCCAGCCTGCTCCGCAGCCCCAGGAGGCCCAGCCAGCGGCTCATCCCTCGCCACTTGGGCTCCTGCTGGTACTGAGGCCTTGTCCTTTTGTCCGTTTTTCCAGTTGTGGTTTGGTTTTGTTTTTTAAGAACTCAAAAAAAATAAAGACTGAAAGGAAAGGTGTAGGCTCCCAGTGCCTCTGGGGCAAGCGCGTTGCAGTTGGCACGCTCTGGGAGGGACACTCTGGCTGCCTCGCGGAGGTGCACAGAGCAGTACTTGAGATTCCCTCTCGACTGCGAGCCAAGGCTGAGTGGGACGGACAGTGGCCAGAGAAGGAGGCTCAGGGACACGCCCCCGGCGCTGCATCAGTAGGGCAGGCGTTGGTCTCCTGGTGCCAGGACAGCTCTTGCACCTGCCCTGTGCTCAGAAATGGAAGGGCCTGCTGAGCCACCTTTTGGAGCTGAGACCTAGAGAGGAGGCGCTCCTTGGTTTCAAGCTGGAGAAGGTTCATGTCCAGGTCACAGCAGTTTCGTGGGGGTGCAGGCGAGTACGTGAGCTTGAGAGCTATGCTGTGTGCTGGCCACAGGTCAGGGCCTGGCTACGGGCTGAGGGGAGGAGGGGCGGCAAAGGATGCCTTCTACAGTTCCAGCCTGGCCATGTGGAGCCCTTTTCCCCGACCCCAGGCCAGTGTGGGACTGTGGTGGTCGTGAGAGTTTCTCTCCAAGGCTTTAGCCTCCTGTGCAGGAAAGGGCTGGAGGTGCAGAAACCGCAGGGCGATGTGTGGCCATGCTCAGGGCTTTGGGCCGGGCCCGACCTTGCACGACTGTAGGGTCTAGAACAGACTACAGTGAGCCTCACTGAGCCACAGCAGTTTGAAAATGGGGCAGTTGTGCTGAGGACCTGATTTGTGGGTTTGGAACAGTGGGCTGTGTCCCTCTGATCAACAACTGGCTGAGCCCAACTCGGCTTTTTTTTTTTTTTTTTTTTAGATTTGATTTATTTATTTGAAAGAGTTACAGAGAGAGGTCCTCCATCCGCTGGTTTACTCCCCAGATGGCCGCAAAGGGCAGAACTGCGCCAATCCAGAGCCAGGAGCCAGGAGCCTCCTTCTGGTCTACCACGAGGGTGCAGGGGCCCAAGGACTCCTGCTTCCCCAGGCTGCAGCAGAGAGCCAGATTGGAAGAGGAGCTGCTAGGACTCGAACTGGCACCCACATTGGATGCAGGCGCTTCAGGCCAGGGCTTTAACCCACTGTGCCACAGCACCAGCCCCTGGACTCAGCCTCTTTTTTTTTGTTTGTTTGGTTTGGGTTTTTTTGACAGGCAGAGTGGACAGTGAGAGAGACAGAGAGAAAGGTCTTCCTTTTTTTTGCCATTGGTTCACCCTCCAACAGCCACCGCGCTGCGGCCGGTGCACCGCGCTGATCCGAAGGCAGGAGCCAGGTACTTCTGGTCTCCCATGGGGTGCAGGGCCCAAGTGCTTGGGCCATCCTCCACTGCACTCCCTGGCCACAGCAGAAAGCTGGCCTGGAAGAGGGGCAACTGGGATAGAATCCGGTGCCCCGACTGGGACTAGAACCCGGTGTGACGGCGCCGCAGGCGGAGGATTAGCCTAGTGAGCCGCAGCGCCGGCCAGGACTCAGCCTCTTAAGTCAGGCGTAGCCCCCCTGCTGTCCATCCCTGACACCGGGCCCATGTCGATTGCCATCTGTCTTCACACAAGTGCTGTTCTCAGTATAGACATGAATTGGGGACATGGGAAAGTGAAAGAAAGTTGGAAGAAGAGCTTGTGCTTAAAAAGCCAGGCCACAGCCTGTTTCCTTTTGGAAGAGAAGCATCTTTGTGTATGTTAGCAGCCAAGTATACCCATGTCCACGGACCACAGGCGCCCCAGCCCTTTCTGGCCCCTCAGGTCTCTGGGTTTGAGCCCCTTGTGTTTCCTCACCTGGATGAACAGAAGCACCAGAGCCCAAGTGTCTTACCTCCTACCGTTTATTATGTGAGCTGTGGCCCTGGGGGCTGGTGACAAGTATGGCTGAGTGCAAGGGTAGATGGGGGGCTTGGGGGTAGGCAGAGGAAGAGTCTGGGTTCTAACTTGGGGAATGAGGGGGAAGGGGAAGCAGGTGGCTCATCCCCCAGGTAAACAGGCTGAGAAGCTGGGGCCAAAGCCAGAAGTGGAGGGGAGAAACACCGGTGTGTCCATCCTGGAGTCTGGGAATAGGGCCGTCCCTTCTGCCTGGGCCTTGCCACCTCATGCACGGTCTGGATCCTAGAGGCACTGATGGAGGTCTGCCCAGCTCTTGCTCATCCCATGGCAGACGGGGGCATGGCAGTGGCCCACCCGTGTCGTCTGTGCTGTTCTGAGTTGAGGGTGACAGAGAGCCAGGCACCAGAGTCTCATGGGTTGAGGTACAGGGTGGGAGATGGAAGGGGCCGGGGTTGCAGTTGGGGGCGGAGGGGAACAGAAGCTGGCATGCGGAGCTGGCTGGATGCTGGAGGCGGCTTCTGCAGTTCTCATATGAAAACTAGGAGAAAGCAGCAGGTTGAAGTTGAAGTCGCCTTCCCAGCATCCTGGGGCCCCCAAGCGGTCAGGGACTTTGTGCAGTCTGCTGCCCCCCTGATCCAGTAAAGAACTGCCCGGACTGGATTCAGGCAGCTTTCCCCCAGCCCTCCATCCCTGGGAGGCTGCTTTGGAGGATGGGCAGCTGGTGACCAGAATCCCCCCACCCCCCCAAAGCAGGGCCCTTACCTTTACCCATTTCCGGCCTGGCCATGTCCAGCCCCGAAGATGGGTATTCGAATTCCATTGGCTCTGCAAAGCAGCAGCAAATGTGTTACTTCTAGTCCCTCCTACCCCACCACTGGCACAGTGCCCAGGGGCACTTCAGGTGGCCACAGGCCTAGTGTGTGGCAGAGCAGGTGCCCAGTGAGGAAGAGGGGGGACCTAAAGGAGCAAGACCAAGGAAAAGGCTGAGATGGTGGGTGTGCGGGACACCTGGGTACCGGAGGACAATGCGTGGATGGCTGTGGATGAGCATGGATGTAAGAGGAGAGAAATGACAAGGACAGCATGCAGAGAGGCATGCCCTCCCGTGCCAGGAGGGAGCTGTCGCCTTGGCCTGCCTCGGCCTTCCTGGCCTTCAGTGCCGCTGGTGGAGTGGCTGCTGCTTACCACTGCAGTTATGGTGACCGCGGCTCCTGGTGTGGGGGACCTCGGTGCCGTTGGGGAAGACGCACCAGCAGTAGCCGATGCTGCCATGGCACTGGAGCGGCATGTAATTGCCGTTCTCGTCGCACTGGGGTTTGAACCGGCCCGGGTGGACATCAGGGACGTGGCTGGCCTCTTCCAGGCACTTGCTCAGTACTGAAGCGACAGGCATGATGAAGACACGGTGAGACCCAAACACCACTGCTGTGGGCCTCGTGCCTTCTGCCCAAGAGGCTTTATGCATGCCACCCATCGTAGAGGCCTAGCCGGGTCCGAGAGGAGAGGGGACGTGAATGGCCATGTGGCTCTTCGACCCCGGAACATGGTGATTCCTCCTCAAAGCCCTTGAACAATTGGAATTGTAGTTGTGATGCTGACTTGTAGAGAAGTGCCACGGGCGCCGTGATGAGAGTGAGCTCCCTGTCTTTGTTTCACACATGGCCAGCAGTGGGAGGAGCTAGCTCGGGAGGCCCCTCCTACAAATACAGTGGGAAAACCGAGGCCCGGGGCGGGGGATGCCACGGACCTTTCACCTCAGGACCCTGAAGCCCAGGGGAAGAGACTTGGCCGAAGCAGCGTGGCAGCTAGGAGACAACACTCCGAAGGGCCCTGCTGGCCAGCTCTCACCGGCTGGGCGACGTGGCCTCATCCCTGGGATTGCGGCAGCGGAGCTGGGGAGGTCACCGGGGGACTCCTGCAGGCTCCCTTGCCCAGTGCTGTCCTCCACAAGGGAGGTCATCCCAGGAAGGTGCAGACAGGCTGGGTGCTGGGGGCACCTGAGCCCAGAACAGGCAGGAAAGACAGGGCGAGTGGAGGCAGAGTGGGAGATTCCGTGGCACTTGGATGAGCGGCTCCAGGAGGCCCCCCAGAACTCCCACTCCCCGAACCTTTGGTTGGCGCCTCGGTGGGCTTCTCCTCCAGCGAGTTCTTGCTCATTTCAAACAGGAGCCACTGGTGCAGCCAGCTCTCAAACACCTAGTCCAGGGAGAGGCAGGGAGTCGGGGTCAGTAGCCATCCCTAAACCCCTACCTGCCTGGCTTTGCCCCTGGGGACAGAAACGGCAGGGGGCTAGACAAGACCACCACACCGGGAGTGCAGCTGCGGCTTGGTGAGCACCTTGTGGTGTTTGGTTTTGAACGTGCTGGTGAACCTCCCCAGCGTCTCTGCCCAGCCCTGCTGGAGCCTGGGGTCAGGGCAGGGGTGTGGCTCCAGCGCAGGGAGACCCGCCCACCTTCCAGTTGAGGCCGTCCATGGTGCCCTTGAGCTGCTTCAGGTTCTCCGGGAAGCTCCCCTTCAGCTGCGGGTACACCTTCAGGGGGTCAGACCTCTGCGGAGTGGAGGGGCAGGAAGGAAGGTTGAAAAAGAGTTCCCTGGCACGCAAAGTGAAAAGTGAAGCTTGTGTTCCCCTTGCCTTCCACCCTGAGGAGTGAGCCTGAGCTGGACCTTAGCCATGGTGGGGGAGGGTGGAAGGAGCACTCTAGCTGTTACAGCAACCAGGTCCCAGGGCTGGGAATCAGGTCCCAGGCTAGCTCTACCAATGAGCCCAAGTCTTTTTCGCACACTTATTCACCTCCAGGAAGGCTTCCTTGACTACCTCCAGTGTGCTTGGGTCATCACCTGGGCACTTGTCCCCCAAACTGGCCTGAGATCTAAGTGGCTTTAGGAGGCCATCTGGTCTACCAGTATGAGCCAGAGCCTTGCACAGTGTCCAGCACAGAGGAGACATGGAGTAAAAATTGGGGAAGATAAAAGGGGGGAGTCTTGAGACAGTCCTTTGCAAGCTTCTGGTCTCTGTTCATCTTAAAAACAAGCTGGACTGCCAATGGTGCGGAACAGCCAGGCATGGTGTAGGCACTGGGGCGCCACTCACATGGTCCTGTGTGGGCAGACAGGCCCCCCGGCGGCTGCCCTGCACTCACCAGAAGCAGGTGCATCACGTAGTCCTGTGTGGTGTTGCCATACTTGGTGACGT